ATACTAATTCCATTACCTCTTTATGGGTCATGCCAGGGTATGGCATATGCCCTTTGGTAGCCAGTTCCCATAGTAATATACCAAATGACCAAACATCAGATTTAATACTCAGTTGGTTTAAAGTATATCCTTCAGGTGCTGTCCATCTTATAGCTAGCTCAGTACCTTCCTCAACAGTCCAGTATTTATTGCCATTGAGGTGTTGAGCAAGATGAAAGTTTGCTATCTTGACAGTGTTATTATATCCTAATAGTATACTGGCAGCTTTTAGATTGCAATGAATGTAATCTTGTTCTCCTAGATAAATCATACCTTCAGTAACTTGAATAGCGATATCTACCAGCTCTGCTGGTGTAAGATTATTTGTAGTTAGGTAATCTTTGAGATTTCCATTTATCATCAGCTCTGTTACAATATAAAGAGGATAATTTTCAGTACAAACACCATATAGACTGATGATGTTCTTATGATGAAGTTTTGCCAATATGTTGGCCGCGTCAATAAATGTTTCTTGTGTAATATTTGTTGCTATATTTGTCTTAATCATAACTGGCCCTTCACCTTTCCAAACACCCTTCCATGTCTCTCCAAACTGTCCAGCATTTATGCATTTTGAAAACTTGATATGTGACTTATTAATTTCAAACTCTTTATTTACTGCAATAGGCATGTTTCTTTGTTTGGGTATAGGAATTTTTATTGAGCAGGGCAGGCCATCAGCTTTCATCATGTAGTGATGTACCAGGTCATTGAGTGAGTCAAACCAGACACTTTTGCCTATAGAGCACTTATTAAGGCTAAAATGTATACGATGGTATGTTGTAATGACTCCATTGTTAAGTATGAGGGTATGCTGTCTAGGAACTCCAGGTTTTCTTTCACTCTTATTGATTAGAAAGCTACCTTTTTGAGTGTCTGCTTGACGACTCAGTCTCTCTTTTGCTACATTGTGATCCATTATATGGTAGTAGACATGCTTGTAGTACCTACATGCATATATGAAGAAGTAAATTTATTGATCAGCACAGTTAAAACTTTTCAATTATTATCTACTCAATTCCTTACATTTCTGAGTATTTCCCTTCAATTGGTATTATATAACTAATTGGGACATCGCCTATGTTGTCTGTATGAAATGATTGCATATACCACCATTCATCATCTTCATTTTTAACAACTTTAAGTACTTCTCCTATTAAAGAAGATAATGCGTGAAATTTTTGCACATTTGAAATATGAAATGATTCTTTAGATGTTTAATTTAGGTATCATATTGTTGACATGAGTATACCTTTTTTAAAAGATAAGCCATCTTTGTGTAATGCTTGAAAGCTATGTCTAGCTACAAACACTTTTATATATGTGAGAATCATAGTTAAATTTTTGTACTTACATTTTTGTTTTGACACTTGCATTCTTAATGAATGTAATCCAGGAGCATCATTAATTTCCTGAACAAAATACTCTGCTTTTATATTGAGGTCAAAACGATATGGTAGAATTTCTATTTCAATGGCAAACTGGAACAATTGAAGTAATTCTACTCTTGAGTATCCAATGTATTTCATTGGAACAACACTCTTCTGACCAGTCTCCAGTGATTGTACCTCATTTCCATTTATACTTAACTGAAGTAGTTCACCCTTTTTGAATGAGATAGCTGGGTCGTTATAATCATCTTGAGCTTCACAGATAGATCCATTGGATGATAGCACTGTCTGTGTGGATTTCTCTTCTTTATTTATTATAATGTTTGATTAGGAACTATTAATATAACTACTTACTGTAAAAATTTGAAATTTGTTT